TCCCTCCATGTGACCGGGGGGCCGCTCACTTTTTCCACTCTCCCGGTAAAAACTTCACGTTTTGCTTTTCCCGGGAAGCCTTGGGAGGAAATGCGGGATGCTGCTTTGATACAAGCCCCATTTCCACGGGCTCTTCCCTGTCCTCCAGCTGCCCCTGCGGCGCGGTTCTTCCATTCCAGCGCTGCGTGAGCGCAGGCAGGGAACCGTCCCATATTTCTGCTCCCAGCTCACCTGGCGCAGGGCCAGCGCTGCTTAATATAGACTGAGCACGACTGCCTGGTAAAAATCTTCTGCCTGTGCAGAGCTGTTGTCAATTTTCTTTTCCAAACAGAAGGATGCACTGCAAAGCAGCGAGCTTCCTGACTGACGCACAGGCTTTGGGGACAGGGTTTTAAAGTTTTGGCACGTACCGAAAACAGGCTGAAACTTTTACTGTAAAACAGTGTCACGTAATAGCATCTTCTCAAATCTGCTCTCCATTTATAATCACTTAAGAATAAAAATTACCACGGCAGTAGGTGCGATCATACGCTCAAGCAAGGCCGGTGCACTATGCAAAACCACGGCTGGCTTGGGTGTATGCTGAATGCATGGACACAAAGTCAATGCAAAGGAGAGGATGCACAAAATGGCAGAACACATACTAGTGAAGACAAACGGAGGCTTGGTTTGAAAATCTATTTTTTTATGCTCTTTATATTTTTTTTAGCATATGTCTATACACTTTCTATGAAACTTGCATCAAACACAGGTTTACCTGAGTTGTTTTGCCCTCACACTGCTGACTGAAAATGCGTAAATAGCTTTAAGATGTGAATCACAAAACCATAAATATCATGATACCTAAACCAGTGTAATTATAAATACAGGGTACAGCTAAGTGTATTGGCTCCCAATACAAGTTTCACAACATTCTGAGCATTCCTGAAAAACAAGGTAAGTTACGTTCTAAAAATACCTCGAGCCCAGATATTTTCTACCAATACATCATCAGAGCCTGATGTCTTTCTGAAAAGAATATGGACTCACACTTTTCAAAAGGGAAACCACGTCATTTCATCTCGGGAAGAAGGAAACTTACCTCCACTCCGCCTTGTTATGCAGGAATGAGTTACACTGGTCTGGAAGGTTACTGTCATTTGACATAGACTCCAGGATTGAAATGATCTGCTTGAATGATGGCCTTTTCTGAAGATAAAAAACAAACCCACAACGTTTGTGTTCATATATTATTACTGTGCAAAATTACTTGCAGGAATTTTTCAATTAAAAGACTACAAATAACAGAAACTGGGATGCTGCTTTCTGAACACCACATCCTACCTGAGGACTTTAAATGTTTAAATTTTCTTTCTTTCTTTTTGTGCTTCCCATTGAATAAAAGGTTTGTTTGGTAAGAGTCACATAAGCCAGTGGGACTCAAGCCTTAGCTCAGTCTCCCATATCTACCATTAAACCTTTTGGTATCCAGTAAGAGCATTAAACATTAGTAGCACAAATGACCACCAAGGTTCCTGATTCTAAAGTTTTCTTCAAGCTAAGAAGGAAAATACTGCCAAAAAGAGAAGGCTGGACCCATTAGCAACTGGTAATTAGACAGATGTCCTTTTAACAGGTAGTAACCCACACTCTTTAAAGTGTGAACAAGCTATTTAGCTGCCCATCAAAAATGGGTTTCTGGCCACAGTTCCCCTTTTGCAGATGAGGACAGACTTTCCAGAAAACATCTCACTTAGCCACCTCAGGAGCAGACAGGAAAGAAGTGAAGATTGAGGCTAGACAAGGATGTCTTGCCTGGCAGCTGAGCTCATGTCAGTGGTGTCTATGCTTTTCTGTCCTAGGCTCTCCATCCAGCACCCACTGTACTCACTAGTCACAGAGAGCAGTTAAAACTGTATTTTCTACTTTCCCCTTAGTCCCAAATGGAAGCTATGAGATAGGATAATAACTGAAAACTGAAAAATGCACAGTTAAATGTGTTTCTTGAAAGAGCACTGACTCTGTTAGTCTGTTTGACAGACCCCAGACAAGGTTGAGACAAAAGGTTGAAACAAAACGTAGATACATAATAAGAGGATGATGCACATTCTCTCTCTATCCCGCCAGTAATTATACCATTTCTGCTAAAATTACAGATGCCGCAATTAAAACGTGCATTTTAATTTGGAAGCACAAAAACAATTAGGAACAATGCTGAGGTGTCTCTCCCTGGAAGATCCAAGTGATTTCCGCATTATAAAAGAAAGACAATTTCTTTATTTTAAATGTCAAACAGCATGAAAATGTGTCAAATGCATAACAAAAAAAAAGACAAGCTCTCTTATACTGTAATGCTGCACTTTTCAGCTGGAACTGGAAGCTTTGTCTGTCATTTTTGGTCCATCTCCATGACTTCAGGCAATGGGCAGCTGGATAAGCTATGCAGATTTTCTTCACACAGACAGCACTTGCCCCAGCCACCATGTGCTTATGCAATTTGGCCCCAGCCCAGCGTCCATGGAGTGGCAACCTGGGTGCACAGAGCAGCAGGTGCCTATTCAATTCAGCAGCACATTCCTTGCACTTGTTGATACAGTCCCAGTGTGGAAACCCAGCAGGGTCCCCCTGCATTTATGGGGGGGCTGAGAGAGGCAGCAGTCCTCCCCCTACATGCGTGATGCACCTGGACCTGCCCAAGTAACATGTTCTGGAAGAGCACCAACCTCCCTGGTCAGGGATTGTGCTGCGCCAGGGGTACAGAACTCAAAATTCATCCCTAGCACCAACCAGGACAGACAACTCTGGTATGGTTTAGGGGCAGGAGAACCTGTCAATATCCCTTCTTGTTGCTACAGCTGCATCTCCTGTAACCACCCCAGTGGGTGCAAACTGCTGATGGGATTCAAAAGCATCCCAGATGGTGAAGAGTGTGCCAGACAAGAGATAGTGGCTTCCCACCAATACACCAGGGTACTGCTACTGCTATGTACTCTCCAACGGACTGGTAGGTGTGTAATGTGCCTGTAATAAACTAACTCTACTTTCAGGAATAGATTAAGGGCAAACATCTCTATGCTGCATTAATTACAATACTTTATGGCTTATTTAGGATTATTTTATAAAACAATTCCATGAGTTTTGCTTGCTCCTTCTTTCTTGTGGGTATACCGAGAAGTATAGGGCAGGGCTGACCCTGAGTGAGCACAGTCAGCACTACTATCAGGCCTGTCTGGAGTAACTGGAGTGGACACACTGACAGAAACCAGGGGTTTTACTAAGCACAGGTGAAAGCACTGACTGACCTGGGAGATGCAGCAACACAAACTCTTTGGGTCATACACTACAGGCAAAGGAACTGTTGAGTTGTGCAACTAGAGTGGGAACAAAGCAATCACGCTGCACTGACAAAGCTTGTACATCTCCAGCTGTGCAATTTCTGTGAACAGCTACCAGCTATCCTGCCAGACTTGTAGCTGCCAGATTTACAGGTAGCAGTTTTCCCTAGGGGCAAAGCTGACAGGAAGACACAAGCCTGCTTTGCCATGTCGGTTTTGTTGGTTTCTTCCCCCAAGGCAAAGATAATTTCAGATTTAATAAATGCACTCTAAGTACAGTCTGACAGCTTGGTTAAAACTGGCAAGAAGCAACTGATGAAACTGGGAGCCCAAGCTGAGCAGCTTTTCTAAAAAAAAGTCTTATTTTTGGTGGATGAGTGCCTAGCACTTTCTAGAAAGTCAGGCATCTCAAGTCAGTCCTTATAAGAGATTCTTAAAATATCAAGGCATGAGTCGCCTTTGAAAATTGTTTCCCTTTATATCTGTGATGTCTCATACAAAAATCTTTAAAATATATGTCCCTCTAGAAATAATTCTTGCTAATGTTTTCAGCTGTTTCCTTCCACTCTGCATAAAACCAGGATATTTAATCCATATGGCTTTCCTTTCTCACTGCTTCTCTGTTCCCAGGTTTCTGATTTTCATTAAAATATTCAGTAATTTAGAAACATCTTTGATGTTAAAGTGGGGATAAACTGAGTGAACAGATGAAATGAGAAAGAACCACTCACCTGTGTTTCAAAGCAAGAATCCCCAGTAAACAAAGGCATCAGTGATGAGTGACCTTGTTTGCACAATTATCTAGTACCCAAGCAAAAGCAGCTTGTTTGGTAGCGATTTTAACATGTGGAAGTAGTTATTTAAGACACTTAGTTACCACAGAGATTGTTCTTTCATAATTACTGACTTAAAATAATTAGTAATTAACATTTTAGTAAAATGCTTTGAACACACTAGGGACTGTTTCTTTCAACTAGCAGAGTTTAAACTGTATAAAAACTACCATTACAAATACCATGTTAAGCAATGCACTGTGGACACTTTTTGCCACATATGAAGAAATTCTTAAGAATTCAAAGCAAAGTGAATAACTCTGTTCATTCCCATGAGGAAGTTACAGTGTAAGCAGTGCTGCTCTGCAGCAGCTCTCAAAGTGCATTCCTTAGCCCTATGGTAAATGCACATCCCTCTTTTCTCAGGGGTAATCCACTAAAGATACCTCAAGCTTTCTGTGGGCTAAAAGTATGCACCTTAGTGATTGCTTTAGAGCAGCTGAGATCCTCAAGCTCACCCCTGCTTGACCTCAGTGACTTATTCATGCATCGACTATCTGATTTTCTAATGCTAATCCTGGTAAAAAGGAAACATTGCACAGAGCAGCATTTTAGAGGAGTGTGCTCCATCTTTTGGCTCATGCAGGCCACACAGCCTTTATCAAGGCATTCTGAGAGCTGTAAGTAGCGATCCTTTCCCAACGTGTGACAGAGTAAGTCAGTCACATGCCCAAACTGTGACCAGAGATTACTCCATTTCAGTCATGTGAACAAAGCATTTATAATTGCTTAATAGAAGAGAAGCTGCATGAAAGAAGTAGCAAAGAGCAGACTGTCAGGAAAACCCATCTAACATGAGATTCACTCTTCGCACACATCAGAGACTCCTCAGGCAATAGCGCTCCCAGGAACCAGCCCACACCCAGGTGAATTATTCAGGCAGACAGAATTCAGCCTGCTGGTTGGGCATCCTTCTTCGACAAAATGCAGGTCCCTCCCTCTCCTTGAAAAACAGCAACAGCCTTCTGGACACTTACATATGTGGCCAGAGCAAGGCAGAGAGTGAGCTGATCTAGTATGTGCTGTAATTACAGATAAGAAGCTCAAATAATTCTTACTCTGTGGTATTTGTTAGTGATGCCAGTGCTTGGGAGTACTCATTAAAGATATGTAGTTGCCACTGGAAAGTGCTTTTCAGTAATTACTGGCCTAGAACTTAATCAGACTACTTGCAGTTCAAAGACTCAAAGCGTTTTTCTCCTCTCACTTTTGCAGAGAGATTAAAGATGGAGATACTAAGGGAATGGCATTTAAATGGGTCTTCACAAAGAAACCACATGTTGATGATGGATCTCAACCTTCTTTACTCATTCTGTAGGAAAGCAACACCTCACTTAAAAACAAAGGAATTTAAAAAAAAAGAGACAAAGAGGGGAAAATCTCCATTCTCATGTTATTCTTCTGTGGCTACCCTCTGGTGATAACAAGTTCTAGCTCTAGAGCAGCTGAGTGCTATAATCTATCTCGGGATAAGTCTTGGTCTCTCTGAAGTAGTAGCTAACTTTCTCCTGAGTTTAAAGGAACGAAGTTCTTCCTGGTGCCTTGACTTGATAAAAAGAGCGTATTTTTCTTTCTTTAACTATCCTCTGCAATCTCAAATACCTTTATAGGCAAAGGAAATGGATGCTAATCCCTGTTAATACAGCTAAGATGCCCACAGGCTCTTTCCAGACATTTTTATATACACCGGGATGGAAGCAGAGTCCATTTAAAGAAGGTAACTCCCATAATCTACAAAAGCTTTTACAAAATATTCTCTTTAGTTTCCCTTTTAGTTGATTCTTGCAGGGGCAGATTAATAGTGACAATGGTTTGGCTCTTTAACTTGTATTTTTACTCTATTTTCATAGTTAACGAGTCTCTTACAGTACTTCTACTATTATATTATTACAGTATAATCATTATAAAGCTCATCATTCAAACAGAAAAGATTATGAAAGGTTTCATGTTAATTTAGACTGCGTTGCTGCTGTTCCTACCCACATTTTATGGAATAACAAGACAAGGAAGGCACCAAAATTGGACCTTGAAATAGATACTTCATATGTGATGCTCACATAAATCCAAGAAAGACTATGGAAAATAAATAGAAAAGAACAATTTTTCTCTTGCTCCAAAATGATTACATTCTTGCTATCCCACCTATTTACTGTCATTGTCTTCAGTTGTCAGGTAAGTTAACAGCATAGTTAACTCTTGATTAAAAGCAAAAGAGACATTTAGGTATAAATATGTAAGCCCATTGAAAAAATAAAAAGAAGACAGCCTCAGCTATCTCTGTGAAGAAATGTGTCTATCAGCGTGCATCAACAGTCAGTCAGAGTTGTCCCCCGAAGAAACACTAACACACTTACCAAAACAAGGAGGGGGAGAAGAGGGGGTAGTATAAAAATCAAACACACATTAAATTACCTTCGAATCAGCGTCCCAACATTGGTGCATCAGTTCTGCAAAACTTCTGGGACAACTGCTTGGAATGGTTAATCTCTAATGGAAAGAGAATGTACCAGTTATTGGAAGCATTTCACTTTAAGCTGCTACTAAAAGATTTCCTCTAAGAGCAATGGAACTAGAAGTTGTAAAACACTCTTTTTTTAATGCAATATAAAAACTGAGGATTGACATATTAAAAAAATCAAACCTTACTAACACTGGCAAGATACACAATTAATTAACAGACCTATGAGGAAGGAACAGAACAAATGCACAAATGTTGTTTCTTAAGAAATCTTGGAGACAAGGAAGTAAAAACAAGGCAAACAGCTTTTAATACTAAAACATAACAGTTTGTGCATGTTACTGCAGGCTATTCCAAGATGCTTGTCAAGATAGGTATAATGTATAGCCTGCATTAATTCCTTTCTCCCACACAGATGATCCAGCTGTACAATACTATAATCACTTTTGATATAACAAATGGCTGAAATATATAATAAAGTAAGTGATTTAACAAGAGTTAAGTAAATCTCTACATGACACAAGAAATTTCATGAGCCTGTGGTCAGAAGGATTAATGAGAACATGCAGATCTTGGAAAGCACTCGGAGAGCACAGTGAACTCATATAAATACTTTCTAATGACTGAAGACAAGGGGTTGCTGGTTATTAGCCAGGACCACTGACTACAGAGAATTAGTTTGAAATTTGTTTGGTTTGCTTTGCTGAAAGTTTTAAATCCCGAAAAGATTCCCTCAGCTGGTCTTAGAGGAGTTTTAGTTTAAAGACTCTGCCTCCAGACTGGAAAGCCTAAAAGCAAATCCTTTCCCATACACACACATATGGATACTGAAGCCTCTCCAGTTGTTTTAAATGTGCATCCCTACAACATTACACATATAAGGAGATGCCTCTGCTCTTGCTAAGGCAGTTAAATGACTTCAGATGTTCATACTAAATTAAAAAAACATGTTGATGAAAAACAGCTCCTCAGTGAAAGCGAGCCCAAATATAAGAGGGGTCAAGCTGGAAAAAAAGGTTTCTTGTCCCGTAACAGGTGAGAACCAGGTATTACACTTGTGTTCAGACCAGCCTGCCAGGAATACCCCTTGACCTGTCGTACTGTTGCCATTTCAGAAGCAATGCAGAGAAAGTTGTGACAAATTGTATCATCATATCACTGCAACTTGACCTGCAAAGACTTACAAGCCACTGCAGCCGAAGTAAGAGTTAACAAATTCTACTCCACAAGCATTTGAACAACATGAAAACATGAGATACAGAGCCAGGACACTGCAGGAGTATGATTATTACAATAATGTAATACCTTAAGGTGCAAAGCTTTATGTGCAAGAAATACACAGAAATTCGTACAATGAATAAACAAATTGTACTGGTGCTTGATCTGTGGTTAAGTCATTAGCCTAAAAATACACCGGGTAGTCTTGCTACAGTATTTGTTTGTAACCCTCACTGTTCCAGGAGGTGGAAAATCAGTTGCAGTCACCATTTGTGTGTCTCACTTGTGCAGAATGTTATCTGTCATGTAATACAGAGGTAGCAGATTCCAAAAGTGTCATCTTATAAGAAAGATGACGTTTCTCAGTAGTTATTTATTATGAGATCATGCCTAGCATAACCTGAACTCTCAAGTTTTTCTTTTCTGGATTAAATATATAATTATATAGAAACTCTGCCAGAATAAAAATAATACTTTGAAATTATGCGAGAGTCAAAATACCCATACAGAATCATTAAAATCCACCTCGTTTGCTGGGCTGAGGCTTTGCAAAGGGGGATTTTTCACCCTACGCAATTACAGTTTGGCCTCAGTCCCACACTGATTTTAGCAAGTGACTTTCAGTGCAAAAAATTAAGGACTAGCTAAACAGTGATTGAAATCTGTTGTGAACTAGAACTATGCAATTCCACCAATGTCAACAGATTGAACTGAGAGGAGAACATGACCCTTACACTTGCTTTGGGACATAGAAACTATGAAGAGAAGTAGCACAAGCTGACTTTTATAAGGCTCATGGTTGGCATATTCCCTAAGTGATGGCCAGAAAAAAACCCAAACAACTATGCAAGCATTAATGCCCTCTAAGCTCCATGGCATCCTTCCAAAGAAGATGGTAGCAACAGGGTAGTGGTATCTGGCAGACAAAAGGCTGTCTCTGAAAATGTCACCCCTTAGGTTTCTTCAGCCATGAGTAAAATAGTTGTCATGTCCACATTTTGTTCATATTGTATTTTACACAGTTCCTTGCCCCAGAAAACTGTAGCAAAAGGTGCGTTGTACCCTCTGACATCTTTCAGCATATGACTACATCTCTTTATAACGTTCTCAATGCTACTCTGAGCTCCTTACATAAAACTGCACGTGGTAGGCACAGGAAACAAACACTGTTGCTGGAAGGCTTTATGGTTCCTCCTTCAAAATGATGTATGAGGCTTTTCCTAAACTAGGAGAAAGAGCCTCTTTGTGCCTCCTGCTCCAATAAACACTGTAGAAGACCACATTCATAGTCCTCACGCTGTTGGCTTACCCCTTCCAACTAATCAATACATCACAGTATCACTCATTGGAATTAATTGAGTCCTCCGACAGAAGAAAAAACAGAGAGGGGGGTGAAAAAAAACAATAAAAAATATTAAACTAAGAGGAGGAAACCTAACTCTTCTGTTTAACTCTGAAACATTTTTGAGAAACAGTTTATGTAGAATAATAGGAATCTGTATTGTACAGCCACTGCCTCACCATTGTAATGTTTCCCAAGCTTCCGCTGTGTCTAGATAGAGGAGGTTTCGTCTTTGTGGAGGATTTCCATGCTTGTCTGTGTGTGGTACAGTCACAACTTTAAATGTTTTTTAAATGTAGTTACTGTCTTTGATATCAAGGGACTATGTGTTCAGATATAGGCTCACATGTCCAACTAACTGAAAGCCTCAATTTGTGAGAAGAAGAAAAGCGAGGCTGGGGACACTGTACAAACGGTGTTTACACCACTGAAGTGCTTTTGAAATGGAAAGACTCTGCATGAGGAGGCTTGCAGCTATGCCACAGCCTTGCCGATACCAGTGAGGAGCTCATCTTCAATGTAGTGTTGAACGTAGGTGGCAAAACTGTAATTTCTCTCTTTTTTTAAAACTATTTTTTCTTCTTTTATTTTTGAAATTTTCATCTAAGCGGCAGTTTCTTGTACTATAGTGACTCCTGCTGGGAGAGTTAAGTTGAAGTAGCTGAAGGTCTCTTACAGATATATCAACTCCCGGCCAGTAAAAAGATGTCCTAAACGCAGGAGATGGAGTTAAACTGTTCCCCTACCTTGGACGCAATGGCTTCTTTCATCACTAAGAACAAACCCCTAGGTTTTACAATTGAGACTGAGAAACTAGTACAGTACTTGTACAATTTTTGATCTACAGCATCACGACGTGAAGCTGCAACAATTAGATGTAAAGGGTCCATTCATGAGGAATAACATCACTTTGACCCTTTGTGTTAGCTCCTACTGCTAATCTTTCCATACGCGTGAACTTACTTTCAATTTGAAGAAGATGAAAAAGTCTTTTGCAAAACCCCAATACTGTTTTCTGATCTATGTACCTGAATGTAGAAACGTAGTCTTACCTCGTTTTTTTCCACTACAAGCCAAGCTACTTGTAATCCTTCCAAGCCTTTAAAGGGGACCTCCCTTGTTAGCATCTCCCAGAGAACCTGGAACAGAAAAAAAGAAAAGAATTTTTATTTCTGTACTTTGTATTTTAAATACATTATTAAACCTTGATACAGCACTATTCTGTATCCAATTATCAGGCAACCAGTTTCCATTTGCAGGAACTTGGACCAGTGTTTGTGTGCAAGATCCTCTCACTAAATTAATTTGAATGTTTCCGCTTTTTCCTCCACAGAAAAAATGAGATGAAAAACTGGGTTGTGTGGGGTGTAATGCCTGCAATTTTGTGAGAGCCATGGAAAACGCTTTTTTACTATCTTTGTACACTATTAAGTTCACATGTGGCTGTTGAAACTTGGGAAGACAATGAATTCCTCCTCTCCTCAGCCCCAACTAGGCACATCCTTGCTTTGTAGTCATTTTGCATTTAAAAATGTTTCTATTTGATTGCAACTAGTGTTTCTCAGTAGTCAGAATATGATCCAAAAGGTATTTTGCTCCTATGATATGCCTATGAAAACATTAAATATAATTTTCCAAGCAAAATTTTAATTGCTTATCTCTAAGTATGTGATTATGTTAACCTCACCATATAGAAAATTACTCTGTTCTCCTCAGTATCTTATAAACATGCTGTCCTTAGGTAGGGAATGATCTCCTATTTCGCACGCCTTTAGCATTTTGGTAACACGGTATCCAAGAATCTAAGCTACTCTGTAGAAAAGAGTTTGGCATCACCCAAAAGGCTTCAAGTCAATGAATCCAACTTGTTTTTCTGCCTTTGGGGCTACACACTGGAGTTCAACCAAATTAACAGGCACTTTGTACCTTCACTTGCATATGTCTCTTTAATTTTTCCTCCCCTTGATTTTGTTTTTAATCAGAACCTTTCTATACTATCATTACAAATACCTACATACAAACTTTTTCTTCTGCTCATATACTAAGCATAACACCAAAAAAGACATTATTTATGCAGGATCTGACCAAATGCATTATGATTCTTATTCAAGTCTCTATATCCATGTCTCTATATCCTCACTATTTAGGTTAGTACCAGGCTTATTCCGGCTAAATCATACTGAATGGATTCTGGCCAGGTAGGAAAGAAAATGCAAGAATATTGGCAGATGCAGCTCAAGCAGAAAAAAAATGCAGAGTTGGGCATTTAATCAAGCAAACAGTGTACTACATCAGTAGACCTATTTGACTAATTCTGCTTGAGTCAAAAGATTGATTAGTAAAGGTAATGGTATCTTGGCAAAATAGGTAAAAGGTCGGTTTTCCTGAGAATAAGACAAATATGGGGAAAGCTACCATAGAGGTATTCAACTATCCTGTTTGTCTCAATTCATTCCTTTTAGAAGGAGAAAAGGCACCTCAATTTGTAATGCCAATTAGCACCTCTTTACTGGTAGAGAAGGAAATTTAACTGCAAGAGAAGGAAATATTTTAGCAGTTTCATGTACTTCAGACAAAAAACCAGTGTACAAAACAGCCAGTTTAAAACAAAAGCCCCTGGACCAAATCTAACATACAGGTTAGCAGACTTGCAGAACCATCTCATCTGTTTGACTGTACCATGAAACCAAAGAGAAGAAACTCAAGTTTGCACATCAGATAGAGCAGTATTTAAATACATCTTCAAGTAAAGAACATAATGAAATACATGTTAAATGTCTCCAAAAGCCTTGAGCTGGAAAACTCTACTGGTCTGCTATTTTTCTTTCAGAAGATGGTAAATATTAAGGGTTGTCTTGTTTCATTCATGCACGCAAGTTCGTGCAGAACATTTTGCATTGAATTCCTTTATCATGACACCTTTAGTGTTTATTTCCACTGCCTATACAGATCACTGCCTTCCTAAACCAACAGTGCTAGCTTAGAACACTTCAAGACTGCACATAGTTCAAAAGAAAAACAGCAATCTGACACAATATGAAGAGTTTTTCTTAATGGATTATTTTTTACCAATAGTAGAAGAGAGTAAAAGATACAAAAGTGGGATGTCAGAAACCCTTGTATTTAATCACATAGGTTTAGAAGATATTCTAACAACAATGCAAACTTAGTATTTGGGCCAATGGGATAGATAAAGCCTTTCTGTCTGTCGTTTTTTAAGCCCAGCCAGCAACTACCTCCAGCAATGGTGACATGTCTCTATGTTCAGTTTTATAGGAGCTTTAACCCCATCTCATGAATTCGCTACCCTGAATCATTAGCTAAGGTGGATGACTGCATTACCAGACTTTTAAAAAAGGAGCAAATGGGTATCTTCTATATTCCCATTTGCCTTTTCCTGTTCCCAAGGTCATTCAGCTGCAGAAAAAAGCATTTCAACCTGACTTACCCCAGCCTCTCTACTGCAAGATACACTCTCTTCATTTTTAGAGCTGGCTCCCCAGCTCACCTCACATGGAAATCAATCTATCCTCCATTTCTGGTGTAATTTAATTGAGACTGACATGGTTCACTTCCCCTCCCATCTCGGATGGTAAGGATCACCTGCCTCCCTGATCACATCACATCTCTATGATGACGGACAGCAGGTGCTCACAGAGAAACAGCCAAGCTAGATACAATGATGGAAAACAAAGCAAGATCATTTAATGTAGAGGTTTGTAAGCTGTGGCCTCTGAAGATGTTGGGCTTCTCTTTACATGCAGAGAAACAGGGAGACAAATGTATGAATATTCATCCTATACATGAAGCTGAGAATAAGAATTAAATGGTCTTCAGAAAAAGCTCACACCCACAATTCTGTCAGCTCAGCTGTGCATTTCAATTCTTATCCTCTCAACTATGTGACAACAACCAAAAGGAAAAAACCCCAAAACAACAAAACCCCCACATCCCCACCCCAGTGCAAAGTCAATAAAGACTCAAAATACCATGTAAGAGAGGGAACATCCAAATGAGTAACCTGAGAAAAAGAAAACACTCTGAACATCTTCACTGGGAAAAGGAAATGTTTCCTTGGGAGGAAACTGTTCACCGATGAGCATCAGGAGCCACAATTAGCAGAAGTACAGCATGAGCAGAAAGTGTTGCACTCTTAGAGGTGCGTCCCTTAGGTATCAAAATTAGGTCAGTCTTCTCTGCATTGATCCAAATGGAAGTTAAAGATCCCATAATTCTTTTCAAAAAGAGTAAGGGATAACCCCTGGAGCTGGCCAACATTCCCTCTATAAATAACGTATGTTCTCATAGCTAAAGCAATGTATGAACTATTGCTAGGAGCGTAACAGCTGCTACATTTAATGACAGTCTCTACGCTACCAATAGCCAATTAATGGTTTTACTTTTTGTTCTTTCTTTTGCTAAAATAGTTCAGCTACATTATATAAGCTTTCTATGATTAAACACGTTTATACTCATACACAAACACGCACTGCAGTTTTGTTTTGCAGCGCACTACAATTTTGCCAGGGTAACACATTTTAAACGTATATCTTAATGATTTCAAAACAGCTTTTAGAGTGAACATTGTCAATACACTTTCATATCTGGAAGCGATGCAAAGAATCATTTTTGAGCAACATACACAATGACATGTGAGTCCATTTCTGGGTTGATCACTTGAACACTTGTTATCTGTTGTTTAGAGTATGGATTTGCAAATGGTTTAGAAAAGAGAATCACTGAATAGCTGAACGAAAGTGTAAGATCTGTCTTTGTGTTGTAATAAATCTGGAAGATTTAGCTTTAACATTTCATGGCAGTATTACGAATTATTTACTATATATCTCAAAGAGAATATATGGGCCTGTTTAACCATCCATGAAGAGCAGGACAAACTAATCTGAATGTTAGCTATAAGCATGTGTGCAACTGTTCAGAAAGAGGAAAATCAATTTCAGCTGAGGAGCAATTCAGACCTAAGAGGCTGCTGAAGGACTTTGACACTTCTGGAAAAAAACTCTTGCACACCTTAACCAGAATATTTAACATCACAGACTGGTCTGTAGAAAGAAAAGCCAGTCAGGAAAAAAAGATAGCAGAAAAGAAATTAAAGAGAACCATGGGGAAGGCAACATATGTTGCAAACAGAATATCTATTCGTAGCATCTTACTAGTTTACATTTGAAAGGATTCTGTTCTTTGTTAACAGGACTTTAACTGAAGAAAAGCAGATTTGTCTCTAGCACAAAAGCTGCTGGCAAGTGTTATACTTTGAAAAGAGATTCTTTAAATTTTGTTTTCTTAGATGATAATAATTTGAAGAAACAAAAATACTGTTTCTAAGATTTTTTGTTTTCAGTCTTCTAGCTAATTCTCTGACAGTCTAACACTTATTATAGGGAGATTCCAACTTTCAACGTTATATTCGGACTATTTCTTGCTGGTATAACCCCATTATGTCAGTAATTTCATCAACAGAGAACTTGGGTCACCACAATTCTTCATTTCTACCCCTGTATCTCCTCTGAAAATGATGGTGTTCCAAGACTGGAGTTATAAAAAGACAAATTCATTCCTAAGTGCTTATGAATTTTTAAGTTTCTACCCACAGTAGAACACATTAGTTAAAAAACAATATACTAAAAAATGTGGGTCAAATATTATTAGGCATACTAAAGAAGCACTATACACCCATAACAGCAGTAAAATATTCTAGTAACACTGAGCTGTTTTCGTGTGAGGGCAGTTGAGTTTTACCTCCAAGCACAGAGCTGTCAAAGGAGCTTTACTTTCTGGACAAGCTAAAATAAATTATGTGTGACATACTGTTCCCAAGGCTCTGGTAATACTTGACATGATAAGATATTAAACAATTTCTTACCTTCTCACACTTCTAGAACATTACTTAAAGTCAGTTCACACCAAGATGACTATGTGAGCAGTTTGAGCTATAAGACCATGTTTGGAATTTCTCCTGTAACATTTTTGCTTTGTTTTGAAACTGGAATGTTGCCCTTCAGTGGATAATACGTGATTGCTTCCAGTAACAGTTTACATTAACATTTACATTTGTTAGCTTATGTTCTCTTACTGTTTGTGACCTAGTTCAGTTAAGCAAGCAAGCATTTTGAATCTGCCAATACAGGCTTTTTCTCCCTCCTTGCAAACCTTTCATTTGTAAGCAATGGCATATCATTTCTCTTTTTGTTTTTCTCCTCACTTTAAACAACTGTTTGGTAATGAGTTTAAATCATCTTAGGCTGGGTCATCAGCTTACCTATGTACTAGCCTGAAACTGTAGTGCCACCCCCACATGTATCTCTTCCCATCCCTCAAAGAGGCAATAGGTACTGAAAGAACTCTTCACTCTGCCACCCACCATTGAATCCAAACCCAAAAATGGTTAATACTCAGATATGCATGGAAACTACAACCCCACTTCCTTGCCTTCCCACCTTTCTCCCCCCCCCCTGAAAAGTATTCATTCTGTTCTCTGTCAGAGAAAGGCTATGGGGCTAAGCATACAATTAGTCTGAGCAGCAGTGCTATTTCTAGCCTATTTTGTATTGCAGAGCAAAGCCAAACTAGAATTTAACTATGGACAGAGTGAAATAAGTGACATTACTGTACCTGCAAACCTGACATTTTGATGAACTATAACTGATTGTTCCCCCTTCAGAAAAATGGCACATCAATGCTGGTCTTCCTAGATTTTTAGATGAGGCCTCTACCTTCACAAGAGGTACAGTCTCTATTCTTACAACTAATGATAGCAGGGTCTTTCAAACAATTATGCATGGAGAAGTAGCTTACTTTTCAGTAACAGTCCATTTTATGGAAAGTGGAATCCTAATAATTTCATCCCATTACATGTCTATTGCAAGACAACCCCTTTCTTTCCTGTTCCACTAAAAAACTACGAGTATAGATTTATGATGCAGATTGTTCAGTGGCTCCTTCAAACCTTCAGACACATGCTGAATACTTGAAGTAGAGCATGCACGTCCCACACTGGTATCCTGCTAATTTAATCAGATAAGGATCTTACTAGGCAAGGCACTGTTCTTTCTTTTGCTTTCAAGCATTTAATTTTAAATTATGGCTCAGTCTTGGAAAAAAGTGTGATATTTTTTGTTGTCCTTATTTAGAATAGTTGTTCTTAAATCACACAAATTCTGTCACACTAGAGAGCTGCTACTAGACGTAGGGAAATGAGAGGCACTCACCACTCCATACGAGTATGTGTCACAGGTTTCAGACACTGGGAGACTTTGGATAACTTCTGGGGCCATCCATGGAAAAGTGCCCACTAATGACATGTGTGTTGTATGGGAGTGAAACCTTGAGGCACCAAAATCACAGATCTGGCAAAAATAAAAAACCATAAACAGGTATTAGAGTTTCAATGTCATTTACTAGGCATCAAAACATCAAGTCAAGCAGCATCTCTCTACAAATAATTAAAGTGTTCTTACCTTTAATACGCCATCAGCAGCTATAACAACTGCAAATGAAAAAACAGTAGGTTACAAGAATGCCACTAGAAATAAAGACAATACATTTTCACAGCAAAAGGCTTGGGTTTTTATCAAGAAAAATTGTCCTACAGTGAGCCAGCACCTGAATATGCACATATGCACAACTGCCCTGGCTTCTTTGAGAAGCATTAGATAATGTCTGCTGAATACCTGCAGGCCTCTGAAGAAATGCAAAACCTTTCAGACCTTACTGAGTTCAAACATAGCAACTGGACTATTGCTAAAATATAGATAAACTCCATCCTCCCCAGTGTAGTTACGGTTAACAAGAAACTCTCTGAAATATTCATTAATAAAAGGAGAAAACTCACAACTGTGGAGAGATCTAGACTTTTCATGACTATAATCTCCCCGCATGCATGACTAAAATCTGTGTCCCTCCTATCCCAATACTAGTAATGAGAAAAGTTTCAATTAAAAGGCAACGTTCAGCAAATTTCATAAATGGTTGTCAACTGCCAAGTACAAACTAACTAGTGCAAACTAGTATGAGTATCTGTCAAACCTCAAAATATGCCATAGTAAAGACAAGATTTTCAGATAATAAATAAAAGGCTTTATCCAGTCTATTTTGTCTGGTGTCTGCCAGCCTTTCCTGGTACTCATCCTTTCCAAATAGAAAAATGAAGTGAGGAGTGCCCAGGCAATGTCTGACAGCTGGTAAGATGGGTACAATCATGATCATCAGGACACAACTTGAAAGAGCTCTCCACAGTGCTCTGAATGATTCCAGGGACTATAACGAAGCTCAGACAGGTGCAGGATTTGGAGGAGTCAACAGGCCCTTCTGTGCCTCAACAAGGGCAGCTTTATGACAGCCAGTGCATTAATTCTACTTGTTCACAAAGCTCAGGTATGGATTCAAATGCTACATTAACAGGTAAGAGTAAAAGTAGAGCGTTTGCAGTGTTCTGCTACTTAACCATTCCTGGACTTCAGATCCCTGTGGATTACTTTGACTGGAGCTTCCATGTGTAAATAGTGCATTCCTACACAAAACAAGGGAACAATCTTGTTAGGCAGGCTGAGGATGGCCATCACGTGTCAGCAGTCATATTTTCTGGTTCCCTCTAATTGCACTCATTATAAATTGGCATACCTGTATGCCATGTTGATATGTTGCAGGAGAAACAAAGCTTCCCATAATCTACTTTGAGTAAAAAACACCAAGCAAAGTTCATATATTATTCAGAGCATCTATATGGGGAATGTTTATGCTTTTTAACATCATGTTTAGTTATTTTCTCTAAGGTAGTGTCTACACAGGGAAGCCAAGATGTTAATTTACTGTTTGTGCATTAGTTTATACTAATTCTTGTGTAGTCACAAAGAACACAAAGGATAAAACAACTTGTTTTGCATTACTATAAGGAGAATTTCAGTATGTTTGCTGAGAATAAGCCCTTAGCTTCCTTAAACATCCCAATTCAAATCAAATATAAGTATAATTATGCACTTTACCTCATAATTACTCTACATCAGCAAAATTATCCTCTCGGGACTCAGGGGCAAACCAGAAGTAAAACTGGCTCATAGAAACCATTTTCATTCCAGAAATTATTCTGGATTGATAATAACCAAGGAACATACTATAAAAAGGCACAGTGAATGGTGGTTTGTTTTTGTTTGGTTTTTTTTTACTCTTTTTTTTACATATGGTTGGTTGATTTTTTCTGTTAATTTGAGTAAGTATAGGAAGGCTTTCCTGACTTCATAAGGAAAGCATCTCCAGCTGTGCACTTTGCTGGCTGTGTAGGCTAATTATGCACTGCTCGTCTTGCTTACCTTTAGCTATGTCAGTTGCCCAGGTCATGATATGATCCATATCCATCTCTTCACTTTTGTTACTATTAATGTAATCAAACAGTGAGCCAGCAGAAGCATATTCTGTTAAAAAACAACAACAAACAATCTCAAGTGACATTTTAAAACACTACACCTCAACTGAAAGATCTAATGAAAACTGCCAGTTCCAGAAAGCAGTCAACCTCTGGCTTAATGACAAAGAATTTAGGTTCAG